ATTGTAGTATACACTTGATGGATTCACCTATATAGATGTGGGAATGGAGCCGCTTCCTATGATAATTTGGGCAGGTTTTCTAGAGCATTTATGAATATCCAGGTAGAGTGCATGACCTATTCGCACCAACCCGCAATGAACAAACTTATATTAAGGGTCTAATGTGGGTGATAAGTGTAGTCAGTTTATACTAAAGAAATCTAGTTCATAGAAATTTTATATTTCACTAAATTTCTATAAGCTCTGTCTTGTTTTTCCTAAGTAATGGTTCATAGTCCAAAGACACCACTACAATGCATTAGATGCTCGTGTTCCCAATCAAAGTTGTTATTTTATGTATACATTATATTTTGAAATATATGGGGGGAATTATTGTATTTAATATATATTTCAAAATATAATATTTATTTATTTATTTCTAATATATGTGTATAGAAATATAAGTTAAAAAATTAATAATAATAATAGTAAATATATATATTTAAAAATTATTTTTAGACCTATTGGATGATCTGAACAGTACACGTTATGACTATTTATTTTATTATTGATATTGAATCAATTAATTATATTACATGATAAATAAATTTTTAAAATTTTTGACCGTCGGTCAATAATCGTTGAAATTATAATTGATCGTTTGACCAACCATTGCATCCTGTGCCATCTGACTCTTCAACTAATATTTAAAGCCTTTGACGGCTTGTGTACGAAGTGCAGGAAGGAAAAGCTAGGAAAATAAAAAAAAAAAAAAAGCTTACTATTCGAAACATAAAGCAAAGCAGAGAAAAAAAACAAAGGCCTACGGTCCGGTGGATTTTTGTGTGTATTTGATTTTTATACACAGTGAGTTTTTGATATTTATTTGTAAACAAGAGTTGTTCAAGACACGCACGTTTGTAGAAAAACGATAGTTGAATCCTGCAGGATAGAACGTCATAACTTGTTGTACTGGATTTCATATTCAGAGGGACAGAAATCTATTCTTAAGGACAGTGACTGCACGCCTATATCGATAAATTTTCTTATCTTGTTTATCATCTGATTTTTTAGCATTCTTGAATTTGAAATTTTACAACAAGATCAGCATACGAGTCCAGGCAGTGGCATGGAGGAAGATAACAACGTGCATCAACCTGAATTTGGATAAGTTCTGGATATCAACCTTTCACCTTGGACAGGATATTATCCCACAGGTTTTTTCTTTACTTATTTTTCTATTCGTTTTTTTTTTCCTCGTTGCTTAATTTTCTATTCACATTTAAGTGCAAGTTTAAACTATTTGCCACAAAAAAAGACTGATCGAGTTTACCAAAGTCCTTCAGTCACCTGGTTTGGGAATGACCATTAATTAGACACTTCAAATCAATATAGATTTTCACAAGAAAAAGACATGATCCTATATTTTCCCAAGATCTTATCATACTCCTCTGTGATAAGTCCTACTTGAACTTAATTTCTTAATCTCGTTGGATTAGCAATGGATCACAATATTAAATGGAGTTCATGGTCAATTCAATGATTACTATATCTAGATTAAGTCAACACACACACATATATATATATATATATATATATATATATATATATATATATATATATATATATATATATTGGATCAGGTGTGTAATGCTAATGAGCTCCAAGAAATTTAATTGTTAACCAATTTAACCATGCAAATTCTTATTTGGTCCTACTTAATTATCTCGTCACCGTTGAATATTTTGGTATTATTTTAGTGGGTACAATTCCTATTTTTGTTTTCTTATGTGTTCTTTAAACTTAAATATATTATTTACTTTTGAATTGAAATAAGAAGTACGATAATCGAAACCAATTATTAGAATTGATGCATGCATTATTGTGACAAATGTAAGTATATATGTTGGCAGAGAATGCCTCCTTTCCAGCTGCACAGCCTACAGAACAAGCTTTTCTTGAACTGTTTTTATCTCAATTCACTCCATGATTATGAATCAAGATGACCTACAAATAGTTCTACATGACTCTCCATATATGTTACTCATTTATAGTTTGTTCTTGTCTCTTCTCCAAGTGCGTTGTCGAGTGGTTAGGACAGTGAGATTTCTAGATTTATAGCATTTCACTACATTGACTGTCTAGTTTCGGATGGAAGACCAACTGAATTTCCATGTCTTGCAAACACCACCGAGAGAAAAAAAATTTTGTAGAACTTATGAATGTTACATAAATGTTTTTGGTGCTTGGTTGCTCAGGCTCGGGCAGGCCTCATTGAAATCGGATTCAGATTCGATGGTAAGTGCTAAGGAAATGCTCATCAATCGGGGGATCCAAGTTCTCTAAAATCTATAGAAGTTTCATGCATGCCATCATTAATTTTTCATTTGATTATAATCATGGAATTTTTGTTGTTGATGACTATGTATTTTGAACCCCTGATCCACTCTCCCACTACCAAAAAAAAATTCTATTTAAAATATCATGCCGTAACTTCATCTATTGTATAACGATAGTTTAACCATATACTATTATGTACAATACAATATGATATTGGAAGGATTGGTAATAGATCAGGAAACTTGAAAAGATTATTTGCACTTGAAAATAATTAAAATTTATTATTTTTGATGGGACGTTGACAGTCTACCAATTATTGGATGACATGTGTCTAAGTGGCATCGGCTTATGTCTCCTCAAGCCGAGGCTGAGGGATAACCGAGCCAAGACAACATAGCTAATTCTAATGTCATCCTAATTGATATGGAGCACAGGCTTCACGCAGAGCATAAAAGTCACAGACTAATCAATGTCATCCCATTAAAAGAAGAACTATTTTTAACCGTCAGAAAGGCGGGGTATGGCTCTTGACTGAGTTGAGAGTCCTCGGGAGGACATGAGGGTGTCCTCAGGACGTATTCTTAAATGCTCAACAATGGTCTGCAGATATTTTACCTACAAAGCCGTGAATGTTCGGGGAGAGCCGAGTATCCAAATTGGAATATCTCGTCGCTCAATATTAAAGATGCGTGATAAAATAACACTCATTGCATTGATCATAGATCATAGGCTATCATGACTAAAAATTATACTTGAGTGATTGTTACACCGTCATATTTAAAGATACAAACCCTTTATCAAACTACTACACATGTACGTAAAAAAATTTGACTAAACACTAAACATTTTCCTAAAACTTACTTCACCAACTGGCTTAAGTTTTGGAAGGAAGAAGTTAAGTGTTCATTTGATTTTTTTTGACTCGTCTTCTGTTTAAAAAACCAGGGATTGTTCTCCACTCACCGTGTCAAGGCTATCCCAATTTATTGTAAGATCACACCCCGTGCAATTTTGTACTCATAAAAATTAAATTTTTTAATATATTAAAAGTGTTATAACATGATTTCTCTATTAACTTCCGTTGCTCAATCTATCTATGTCAATGAGATGAATCTATAACGAAATGAATAACATAAACTAACGAAAGAGTCACAGTGCAACATTTGAAATATATTGAGGATATAATCTAAAAAATTTTAATATTTAAATATATAAAATAAAAATTCTTAAATCTTTTAGGAGGCAAAGTGTGATTCTCCCAAAATTAAAGTGTTTTTTTTTTTGGGTAAGTAATGAGCAGAAGTGTTGGCTGAGTTGAACAATTTTGAAAATCTCACATTGAGATAATACATCAAGGAAGTGATGTTCGAGTAATAATGATATCACGTCATTATTAATAAATTATCATTATTGGATTACTATACTTTATAAATCACAATTGCTAGTTGCAAATATGATTTCTCAATCAAACGCCCTTTATTTATTGAATAGAGTTAGATATAAACAAAAACATATAACATTCATATAATAGCATCGAATCATGATACTACGAATTATTGATAAACAATGGATGGCATAGCTGAAATGAAATAATGGGTTCATGTTCTAATGTATTTGTAAACTCAACTTAATAAAATTTTAATTACGTGTTTATATATATATTATCAAATTTAGCATGCTCCACTAAAGTCAGCTAGGTGATTAGAATTGATTGGGTTAACATTTAAACAAATTTTCTAATAAATCTCGTGAAATCTAATTCTCTAACTGGTTGAACAGTAAACCACTGACTTGGTAGTGTGACCTATTAATCAAGTAAATATATTACTTTTATAATTTGTCTCGAATGCATTGTAGGTAAATGTATCAAAGTTCGTTCCATTAACACGAAACAAACACAATATTAATAAAACAAGTGAATCCAACACGATATAACTATTAATAAATGAATCGGATATTAGAGAAATCAATTAAAAGAAATATGCGATATGATTCGCCTATATATTAGTTATATATAATTTATACATGATAAGAATTTGATATGATATGATTCATTAGACACGAATTAATAAATGAATTAAATATGAATAAAATATTTTTTTATATGAGCTCACTGAGACCAAACTCAAATTCACTTCATCCAATACGATTGAAAGTCCTAAACTCCAATTTATAGATATACTAGTTATGTTCGATCCAAACATTTTAATTTAGTGATTGAAGAGCAAGATCTGGTCTTTGTATGGGGTTGATGTCGACATTATATTTAATAACTCTTGCTTACAAAAATAAACTACTAGCCGACACATGCTAGGCGGAAAAGGTAACCGGGAAATCAAAATCCAAAATCGAAATCCCAATTTCAAAAATTTACAACACAATCGGAGTTGGCTCAAACTCCAAAACTCAAACCAAAAATCTCCGAAACCTTAAAAACAAACCAAAAATCACATTTCGACTCGCACATGGCCATGATACAAACATCAAAAGCGCGCAAATTAGAATTTCGAAACAACACAAATGGCGGTACTTATGTTCTTCAAAGCCTCCTCTCATCCACACACTTTCGTTACAGAGTCACCACCCACGGTTCTCTCAAACCCACCCTTCTTTTGTCTTCCTCTCTGTTCTGGGAAAGTCAAAGCCCTAGTGTCTAACTTGGAACAGAGAGTTAGATAGCAATGGCGGACCAAGAGAACTGCGCGAGAGTCACTCGCTTATCGAAGAAGAGGGCAGCAGAGGCAGTGGCTTTGGGTGAGTCTCAACAACCGCCTGCTAACAAGAAGAGAGTAGTGTTGGGGGAGATTAAGAACTTGTCGAATGTTGTAGCTAATCAGGTTCAGAAAGTGGGTTCTGAGCCTCGGAAGCCCAGATGTAAGTCGAAGAAGTTCAAGAAGGCAGTGACAACGACGACAGTGACGGAAAAAATTGATGAGGAGATCAATGTCAAATCGGATGATCCCCAAATGTGTGCAGCCTATGTTTCTGACATATACGAGTATCTTCACAACATGGAGGTGAGTGAGGTCTCTATCCTAAGTTTTATGGGGTAATTGTAAATGGGTAGGTAATCTTTGAGAATCATCAAATGTGTTTACTGTTAATTTTATGAATTGTTTCATTTTTCGTTGGTCAATTTATCTATATTTTTGAGG